ATGAAAAATATTTTATATATATATATATATATATATATATATATATATATATATATATCATAATAATAAAAAAAGAAGGAGATGACGATATATGACTGTTGATAGAGAATCTTCCCATGTTGTCACCCATCGATATCATGAAAAGATAATGAATGTAAATCCATCACAATGACATGCATAACATACACGAGTTAAAAAAAATTAGCTTAAATTATTTAGATTAATTTATATAGAATTAATAAAATTTAATATTAATTCGATAAAATTCAAATTTATATTTGATATTTTTATCATCGAATTATTAAAACTCTCGATAATATTATATTTTAAAATTCTGTGTATGAGAAGGTGGATCCCGCGGATGAAAGGTCTTTGCAAGTGACAACCCCCTATATATATATATATAATTTTGGCCACCAAACGTCCCATAATTTCAATTAAAACAATTGCTCATAACCCAAATATTATATTTGCATGCATTCACATTTCACATGCACCGATCGAGCTGGTTCCTTTTTCATAACTACGAATTCTTTACAACAATTATAGAAATAACAAGAATCTTATATTATTTAGGCATTAAATTAAGAGCATTATTGCATAAAGTTATCTTATGATGAGGTAATGATTCGGACAATTTATGGAGAAGGATGACGCTGGATGCCATCTGCTTCCAAGATTTGGTGCATCTTTCCTATCTCTTTTTCTTTCTTTTTTAATTTTAATTTATGATTTGTGTTGTAATTCTTTAGATGATTATATACCCAATTTACATGGTTTAACCGATGAAATAATAGCGCAAAACGTCTATCCATCCCGAGTTCGAGTCTTAGGTTAGAGAGAGTTCTCACATAGCTTTCTTTCAATCCAAAATTAATATGGACCTCGGTTCAAAATATCTAATAACAAAAAAAAAACTAATGATTAAATATAATTAACATATATGATTTGGATTTTGGGCTGGGCTTTGTTTAGGGCTTTGCTTCGTTTACCGGATTTGGATTTTTTTTTTCCGTTGAAAAAAACTACATTTGGTTTCATGTGAAGTTTCCGGTATTGTTCCGTTTTTAGGATTGAGTGAGTTGGACCGGTTTAATTAATAAAATATTTAATTTCTAGATTTTGTTGCTTTATTATTTTTTATAGTATTTGTTACTAAAAAAATGGGTCTTTTGATTTTTTAAATGAGTTTTTCATTAAAGTACTTTTCCGAATTTTTTAAAAAAAAACTAAATTTATCACATTTTGATTGTCAATTGTTTTTAGTTTTGATATTATAAAAATTCCGTCCACAATTTGACGCGCCAAGAGAAAAGGGCATCCAAGATCAAGGTTTGGAAATTTTCTTTTGTTTTAGAAAGTAACGAAGTGAACCTTCAACAACATTTTGGATGTCCTCGGTTTCAATGCAAATTATCAAAATAATCGGAAAATAATAAAACACAAGGCAATTAAATTTGAATATATAAATACTTAACTAAATTGAATTAATTTGTACAAAAAAAATGTGAATTTTTTATTATTTGACTGCTTACGAAACCATTTGAAATTGAAATTGATAATATATCTGATACGAATCCGATTGAAAATGATTTTATTTGAAAAGGGAGCGCTTGGCCTCTGACAAAAACTTGTGACTACGTGCAGTCCAAATATTTCGTGATTTAGAAATTGTGGGTAATGTCGCTTCTTGATCATCCGTGCCACCTAACGCCACGTGTCTAGTAACCGTGATATTTTGGAAATTTGTGGTGAAGATCTATCCGTTTAAAATAATTAAATAAAAAAATAAATATCCATAAAAATAGTAAACTAATTGTACAGTTAAAATTCCATGTGCATTTTCGATGATAGTTTGTTCTAGATTCTTTAGTGCTTTTTAGTTATAAAATTTGTTTCTAATTATTTTAGCAACAATATTTCTGGTGCCAAATTTTTTTTTATTTGATTTCGAGAATAACGCGTAATTTCTAGAGTTTTAGTAAAAAGGGATATAAAAAATTCCATATTTAAATATTTTTAATGGAAGATGAAGAGACAAATCTGTTAATGTCTAATTCCATTTGCATATAATAGACAAAAGTCTTAAACATAAGTACCCTTCGAAGCATTGAATCTAAAGTGTCTGCCTTGCTATTTAGATTTACCAAATCTTTACATTTTAGCCAAATATCAGAAATTACCCAAATCCGTAATACCTTTGGCCTGGCAAATTATCTAGAACCATGGTGTCTCGGAAGATTAGAAAGGTACCATGAACCAAACAAACTCTTTAGTCGCAAAAGTCTCCGTCAGCTCGTGTTTCTTCAATGTCTCTTCGACCTTACCTTGAACCTTCAGACAACAAGCAGAATATATCTTTAAAAAGACGTGTTGATAAACACCACTTCCCTGTAGCAAGTTTCATTCAGATCCGTAGAGTGTGTATGTGTGAATATATATATATATATATATATATATATTAGTAGGTACATGAATGCAAAATATATGCTTATACTCCATCACAAAAATTACAAGAAAAAAGCCATTCATTTTCATCACATCATCTGCAGCATTGTACATAAAAAACCAGAAACAAAAACCCAAAAAAAAAAAAACTGAAGAACGGGCATGAAAAACAAAGAACACACACGGATAGGACGCGAACCGGTTCAGGGTTCTGAAAAACCGAACCTCACAAAGCCGGTTAGCTCTTGGATCAGACAAATCTTTACCAACTGTAACACAACATCAAGCTACTACCAAGCAAACTGTACAGGAGGATGATGTTATGTTGTTTTAGGGGATAAAGTAAACACCCTTTTCATCTCCCTCCAGCGACCAATGTCTTCTCATCTGCGAGTTCTTTGGTGTTTGACAATGGAAGAGGAAGAGGTCGAGGGAGACTCGGGTTCGGGTCATTAGCGACTGGTTCTTTTTCAGAGGGTACGAGCTCGGGTTGAGACAACGGTTTCGGAGTGTATGTGAAGTTAAGATCTCTGTTGGCCGCAAGGGCAAGAAGCTCTTTCTCCTCTAAACCTTTGGTCGGGCCGAGGCTGCATCTGTCTGGTGCATGCTTTGCCAATGCATCTTTGAACTTTTTAATCTGAAATACAGCAAAATGAACGTAAGAGCGAGTTTAAAGAAAAGCTAAAATCAAACGCTTAGCCAAGAAGAAGAAGAAAGTATAACATAATCCGCATCGAAATACAACAATAGTCGGACCAGCAGACATTGATCAAGATTCTTCTCTTACATCACAGTGACTTCAATCATTTCATGTTGCCTAAACAGTAGACACACGAGAAAGTATACGGACCGTTGCATTGGTACAGCTAAAGCTGCAAAGACGGCCGTGAGCACCTCGGTAGAACCGGAAGAAGGGAAGGACATGAACTCCGAGGCTATAACACATGGACTTGTGCTCCTCATAATTCACCTGCAGAAACTCCACATCCGGATTCATCTCCGCCAACTGACATAGCTGCAAGTACATGAACAAAACCCACATTCAAATAAACAGCCGGATCAAAGATTAAACACTGTTTCCACACCGCAAAACAATCATCAAAACGCAATCTTTTCGTCATTTCGATGTACCCTTAAACCAAGATCATGACACAGATTCATCTCCCTCTTAAAATCTTTTCTTCAATATACAGTGAGTAACTCATAGCAATCAGACCGTCGGATCAAATAGTGAGTTGAGATTGTGAATCGGAGATTGGAATGGATGCAGACCTTGGGATGAAGAGCTTTACAGCCGCCGCAACCGGGCGAGAAGAAATCGACCACGACGAGTTTATCGCCGGCGTTCCAAAGCGAATCTACGAGGTCTTGCGCCGATGTGATCTCTCTCATGTTTGGTTGGAGGCACTTCTCCCACCATTTGTGAGCACTTCCAATTCGAAGAGCAGTCTGCAAATATTCGAATATTACAAAAAGGGCAAGAGAAAAAAAAAACATCAGATCACTTGTTCATCGTATGAATCTAATCTAGTTGGACTCTTCAACAATTGTAAGATACGAGAAAGGAGACGAGACAAAGAAAAATCCGAACACGGATAAGGACAAAAATGGAGAAAAAAATTGTGGATCGGATAAAATCAATATCTTTAGTATGGTGGATAAGAAGCGTTGATTATGGATTTGAATCCAAAAATTATAATCATATTAAAAAAAATTGCAAAAGGAACCCTAGAAATTGGTTTGTACGAAATTATCTCGCGAAGTTCCTCAAATTATGAAAAAAAGAGCTTATTATAAAACTTCTAAGATCTAAAAATAAATCAATTTACCTGTGCTTTAATGGAAGACTGAAAGCTCCGTCTGAACCTGTCAATTCTATCATCTCCCACAACGATCCGGTTTCCATGGAAGTCGCTTCGAAGGGGCTTCTGGTTCGTCAGCTTCAGACATGACAATCTCTTCTTACCGAAGCTCACTGGTGAAACACAGATTTCATTTCCATGGTGATTCCGACAAGTTCCCAATAACAGACCCGTTCTGCAAATCACCTCCGCCATTTTTTTTCCTCTACCCAGAGAAAATTATAAATCCAGAGAACAATAACAACAAAAATATATATTTCTACAGATTCGCCACAAGAGCAATCGAAGTAACAGAGATGGATTTTCCCAGGAGCGACGTGTTCTCTTAGCGATCTCCCAAGCAAAAGTTCGCTTCTGTTTCTTCCTTCACGAGCAAGATATAAAAAAGGGAAACACTTTTCTGGACAAGGAACAGTGTCATTTCTTTTCACTTGGATAAGATTCAGACCGTTGGATCTAGACTGGATTATGTCAATCTAACGGCTGATAGAGGACGTGAGTTGTGCCTGTGAGAGAAAAAATTGGCAATGGACAAGGCTCTCGTGGATATTAAAGGATGCGGAAAATAGTTTCTTATTTTGTAATTGGACAAGTGAACAAATATACATTTTGGTCCAGTTATTCCAACGAATATGTAAATATCTTCAATTATTAATATAATAACAATAATAGATTTATGAGAAAAATTAAAACTTCGTTTGAGCATATTAATTATGTAAAATTTGTTACAATTTTGAGTTTACATCTATTTTTAGTTCATTTAAGTGAATAGATGGTAAATATAATTGATTTGAAAAATACTTGATTGTCGGAATGTTTGAATCAAATTGTGGCAGGCATTTGAGATCGTGCTGTCTAGTTGTGGACCATCGATATTGAGTACGGGACACGTGGCGTTAGAAAAGCTGATAAAGGAGTTGAGATATGGATACACTTTGGATAAATGGAAGTGAATTTGCCAACACACCGACCACGTGGGTCCTGTAAGCGAGAACTTCTCCACAATTTTATATATAAAAAAATAATATTTTTTTTTCAAAATATATGAAAAGAATTAGTAGTCTTATATGTTTCTATTTTTTAGATTGTAATCTTGATTTTTTAACATAAATTGTTCAAAAATATAAGTAAGTACATATTTTTTTCATCAATTTTCGATCGTCATTAAATTGATCTAATATTCTTTTATCTCCCATTCACATACCTCATGAATCGTAAAAATTAACAACGATAAACCTTGTAAACTTCTACCGAATAAACTTTCTAAATTGACAAATTTCTGTCATGAATCCGAATCTCAAAGGTACGATCCTATAGTTTTGTAATTTTCATGGTTTTATCATTTTCATGAAACATGCACCCTTGCGTTTTGTAGTTCATGGTTTTATTATTTCCAATTAATCAAGGATTTCCGGAATATCTATGAAAATTCTAATGTACAGTCTGATATCATATATATATATATATACATATATATATATATATATATATATATATATATTTCAGACGTACCTCATATGCAAATTACGTCGATATGTCTAGTTGCATCACACCGTGACTTATAACATATATTTAATCGATATAGAGATGAACTCACATTAATTTATTATATGGCAAATGGGCCACTGAAAAATTATGTGCAATAAGGTTAATCAATAAACACAAGGGAGTTCTCGTTCTTGTGGCTTCCATTTAACTTTGTTTCCTGCAAATTATAATTTCTTTTATAATCCAAAAATTAACCGTGCTTTTTACTTAACTATATCTACCAGAGAAGTAAAGAAACTTATATGAATAGTCATTTCCATGTAAAGACTCGAACGTAGGTTGGGAAAAAACTTATATGAATTGATCCACCCAATCTTAACATTTTTTTCTCTCATTTTACTCGAACAAGTGCCACGCATAGATCGGGAAATCTATCGGCTTGACCTGACCACTACCATCATTATCCAAAGATCTATATACAGACTTGCATGAAAAACTTGTAGACAAATGCCAGTCAAAGCAACACATGAGAGACTACAGATCTTATGTCAAGCACACAATCACGCAACATCTGAGACATAATATCGTCTTCTGTCCGGACCGACCGTGGGTACCTCTCATAATCGAGGGCGAACCGTCCGCTGGCATCTAAAGCTCTGACCTTGAAATTATCAGATAGCGATCTTCCCATCACCTTGACGTATGAGATACTGCAAACAAAGAGCGTTTGATTCGCCTTTCAATATCCCGAAACAACTAACTATGCAGTGGAATCGAGGTCGATAACATTCTACGCAATTAAAAGCCCTCAGATCCTAATGTTTCAGATGACATCACTATCAAAAGATGGATGAATCACGTTCACCAGATACATACAAGAAAAAATGGTCAAAACAACAGTTATAGAAGAACTGGAAGGAGACTAACCAGATGTGGTATAAACCATCACTTATGCTCCTCTCGGAACAACCCAACAACTCAACCAGCACACACCCATCAAGGCAGACAACGGGTTTTGGCAGCTTGAAACTTTGCAGGGAACGTACCTGCCCATGAAGGCAATGTTTAGAACAGCTAAAAAAAAGAATGTCCAAATAATTTAACGGACAAAATGAGATGGTTCAGGTCAGAGGGTGCAGCAAATGCCTGAGCCATTGGAAACATTTCTGAAGTGTAAGTCCATACGAATTTGCTCCCAACTGAGGCTTGTTCGGACTCATGACCTGTTTTACGATGACCAATACGAAACCGAACATATCTCGCAGAAAACACCCTTCGTCGCCCCCCAGTTCGAGCTAATGAAAGGGAAAATCAACATAGAATTCAGAAACCAGGTGTCACGGCACAAGCCACATAAATAACCACTTAACACAACTAAGAATAAAGAACAAAGGAACAGCAATGGCAGAAAAATGATCTGAAACAATTGATATTATAGAGAGAAATTCTTTTTATCTATTTGCCAAGTTTTCAAAAGGCTGTCAGCAGACCCTAGGAATTGCATTGGTCCAGTAAAAGTGAAACAAATATAAAGAAAAAAAAACTTGCGCAGGAAATAAACAGCAGGCTATGTTACCTTCGAAAGCACGTATGTTGATTTCAGTAACGGCACATAAGTCACTAACTAATTTGTAAAGAAGGAAGTCTCCCGCTGCAGGTTGCTGATGTCCTCTACTAATCCAACATAAAGCCCTCCCGTGATCCCAATTTTGAGATTCAAGCGTGTGAGATAGGTTTTTGCCAGATGACGAAATAGCCTCAGAAATGCAGCTTTCGACAGGGAATGATGTGCATCCTCGTGCCAAGAAAGCGTAAGCAAGATGTTCTTTCTCTAATAACTTCCACTCCATGAGATTGCTTGACTCAGCTTCAGAGGACTCTTTTTCTTTACTACCCTCTTCGATAACATTAACATGATCAACTAAAGATAGTTGACTGAACATCCTTAAACATAGGTTCTTGCAAAGACCGTGTCGAATCACTGCAACCGATTTCAGAAACACTAATCAAGTTTTGAACTTCAGCCATCGTACAAACCAAACAATTTAAGAGACTAAAAACGCAAACACGATAAATTGGAAGAGACAGGGCGGATGGAAGAATAAGCACAAGTTCACGTTACCAAATGACAAAAGAAATACTAGGCTTACCAAAGTCTCGCCAAGAGTGCGAGACGGCACTTGCTCGAACAAAATCAGAGGGATCATCGAGACAAGAAAGAATCTTCAGGGACATTTCAGGCTCAATGACGTTAACGAAGTCCATGGATGGAGTTTGTCGTTTCAGAGAGAGCCAGATACCTGCTTTTCTATAAAATCTCTGCAAGATGGCGAAATAAAATGAGAAAACTTTATAGAAAGAGTGAAATGATGAAAGAAATAACATGAAGTAAGAATAATGGGAGGAGTCAGTGGCCTCGGAAAAAGAGAAATGACAACTAATTGAACTCTTCATTGGTAAAACGCCATTAAACAAACACACCAAAAAATCATGAACCTTACGACTGATATTTACGAGAATTTTTATTATAGTTTTTTCTATTTGTTTCTCTATCTGTTTATGGTTTTTTATTATATTTGAGAGATTTAAATAAAAAAAATTAAATCTGAAATTTAATTTTAGTAAGTTGTGTTTATAATTTTTTCTGGGGTTGTCCCTTGATGCAATTTCTAAATTATAAAACTTCAATAAATACATTTTTCAATGTTGTTGAAACTCAGAGAGAAACCTGTAAGGTCGAAAATCCCGCCGTTCTTTGGTCACTCGTTTCTTTCCGATCAAAAGTCTCCCACTCTCGGATGCGAAGAAAGAAAAGAGACGAGGAAGTTTTTACGTGTTCGGCTCCAGAGGGCCTACCGGGACGGTGACCCGCAATATACTAGGGACTGTGAAGTCGATATCGAGCCCTCGCCGTTTCACTCCGACGCTAGTGTGTTCAAGATTCGAAGAAGACAGACGTTTTAACGAGTTCGGTTACCGAGTTGCCTCGGGCCTACATCTCGGCCGGACGGTGCCGGCGAATCCACTAGAAACAGAATGGAAACAACCGAGAGACGGAGCTCCACAAGTCGGAGACTCGCCCCAACAAGAACAGACCAGAAATCTCCAAGAGATGGCACGAAAGATCCTTACCGACGCTTACCTCCCTCGCCTTTGGCGAGTCGACGCCGGTCCGAGCTTCGCCGTCGCCGGGAAGCTCCTCCGCCCTCGCGATCTCCCTTCTTCTTCTCCGTTCTCCCTTTCCGCCTTCTCCGTCTCGAGCACCGTGTGTATTGTCAAAGTGTCGAAGAACAAAACACATTAGGGTATTAACCCTAATCCCCAAAACACATCGTTTCGGAAATCCTCTCCTTCTACCCGAGGGTTCCACTTCTCCACCATAAAGCAAATGGGCCGGACCAAAGGAAAAAGGCCCAACAGGGACACTAGCTTGAGACGTTTCCGACGACCACGACAACTCCCGTGGCTCGACGGAGAAGAATTCAAGAGAGCAACCAGAAACAAAGGAAAAAACGATCAGAAACGAAAAAACCTGAAGTCCGCCGTCGATCCACGCCCGATCTCCGCCGACCTCCCCCTCCGATTACCCTACGTCGCCGAGAACGGCCTCCTCCTTCTTTCCCTCTGCTAAAAACGCTCTGACGAGCTAATGCAGTTCGGAGGAGAATAGGGTTTTTGTTCAACCCTAATGAGCCAAAACCGGTTCCAATTAAGTTAACCGGGTTTCATTCACCAGAACCGGACCACCCATCCGGTTGATAGAAAACTTGACCGAACCGCAAACATAACCCAATCCATTAATTGGAACCGGTTTATATTTATCATAGGAACCCCAAACGTAACCCAATTATTTTATAAATCGAAATGGTTAACACTTATAGGAATTCTAAATCTATTAATTTTCTTTAAAATTTATTATTATTATTATCATTATCATTAATAAATAAAAAACGTTAGAAATTTTATCGATGATCATTAAATAAATTTTGTCATAGAAATTAATACTTTTTTGTAAAAATATTAAATAATTTGTTTATTAATTTTTTATTATATACATTTATATATTAAATATTAAATGATTTTAATAATAATATTTTGTAAAAAAATATAATTTTTATTAATTAAATTTTATAAAACGTACACAAAAAATTTGAAATGACTCTGAATAAGTTAGACTTGAACTTAATCCAACCCATTTAGACATCTCGACTTACATAAGTTAGAAACAAAATTGGCGGACGATTTGTTCTTGATCGATTGAATCTGATTTAGTTAGATTAAGACATTGGTGTGTATTAACATAAAGAATAAAACATAATTATTAAAATAAAGCATAAGATAAAATAAAATAAATAAATATGTCTAATTGGTTATAATTTTAAAATAGCATATTACAGTATCAAATTTAAAATGATTCGATTTCTGCTAAAATCTTTTATATATATATATATATATATATATATATATATTATACTTATATATATTTTTATCATATGAATTAAGTTATTTATTATAAATAAATTCTTTAAGTAAGTTATTATTAGAACTATGTGAATAAAGAAGATTAAAAAATTTCATGCAATGAATAGAAATGATTAAAAAATCTCGATCGTTGGAAATTTTTATGTTATTTTAAAATAAAGCAACGGTAGAATTGTATCATTAGATGTCAATTAGAATACTAATAATATGTATTTATATAATTTATTACCATCTATTTTATATCATTATGATATTTTAAATTTAATAATTTAATATGTGATTGATAGTAATATGATATAAGATTTTATATTCAAAAGCATTTCCATCCAATAAAACTAAGATCCTTTTGACTTTGACCAAGATGGTTGAGGATTTCCATAAAGTATGAATGTAAATGTCTATATGTCCGGCATCTGTGGGTGTGCGTATTTATGTATGATATACATATAACATGTACATGGACTATTTTCCGATAAGTTAATAATATAATTATATTTGTTATTGAATTAAAAATGTTTTTAAAATATTTATATTTTCCGTTTCAAAGTATCTAAATAATTTTAATAAAAATATTTTTTATATTTCTTGAAAATATTTTTAGAAAAAAACATGTTGCATTAGTTCTATTTAAAATTTTAAATTTGTAGATGTAGTTAACTGGTAGTTTAGGGCGTGAAAGTTTGAATGGAAATAAAAATTTTAGAGATCTATTATAATTATAAAAAAACATAAAATAAATAATCTATCCAAAATTATTTCAGAAAGAAGAAAAACATATTATTAATATAAATCAACAGAATCAACTCTTCGCATCAATCACATATTGACGAATGCCACCATTTACGGTCAAAAGAAATAAAAAAGAGAAAATAAAATAATGATTTCACAGACCAATATTCAGGAAATATACCATGCGTAAGCGAAGAAGATGAAAACCAGTACCTTTTTAAGACTTTAAATATACATGATAATATATATATATATATATATATATCATAATATAAAGCATTACAGTCTTTTACCAAAAAAAAAAATATAAAGCATTACAGTCAAAATTATAAATGAAAAAAATGCATACATACCTTTGCATATATAAACCCTTAACCGGAGTCTACATATGTAAAAAAAAAACTAGGGTTTCTCTGGAGTCATAAAAATCTAAATCTTCTCCATGATGGTGATGTTGCTACCTTCTTAAGCAGGTGAAACTGCCAGATGATCTAATCTCTCCCTCTCTCCAAAGCTTTTGTATATGAAAGAGAGAACTCAGATCATGCTGGCAGCTTCAACTGCTACTGGTGCAATATATATACATATATATATATCATACGCCGTATCTATATGTGTATCTGTGTTTCGTTCCTCCGAGACGAAGGTTAAATCGCGAAGCGAGAGAACATATATATACACATAAAAGCATATATATACATATATGCATACACATATACTTGGGAAAACACAAAAAATGGAAGTGTTGGAACGTGTGCGCGTGTCTGAATATCACATATGAGCTTTCCATGTGGCTTTCCTTCTTGTCGCTTACTTTTCTGATAGTAAAATGTAATTTTTTTAAGTGTATTATAGATCTGAAATTTTCTAACTTTAAAAATATTATGCGATGATGCATTAAAAGACTCTTATAGAACAATGATTATAATCTAAAATACAATTGGCGTTCAAAATAAATATAACACAATTTTTTTTATATATACTGTCTTCTAATACAAAAAAGATATTTCAAATCAAATATAAATATAAAATATAAAATCATATTTAAAATTAACAATAATTTAAATACAAAAACATAAAGTTTATGGAAATATTAATAAAAATCAAGATAAAATTTTAAATTTGTTGTTACAAATTTATTTAAATAAATTCATAAAGAGTATATTGTAAAGAGACTAACGAAAAAATAGATTCAAACAAACATTTTAATGTTTTTTATTTGTTGAGGTGACACTTGTTATGATATGGTTTTAATATAGATTTTTACGCAAACCATGCAAGATCTTAGGCGAAAACTATTATTGAATTAATGTTGCGTAGGAGTTATACATAATTTTGTAAATTAGTATGTTTATTGTGAACAATTACAAATTTATGTTTTTTTTTTTTTTATAATTATGAGGTTCACCGGGCAATTTACGAACTTTTTTTATGATTTGTTTTAACAATTTCATATATTTATATGAGATATTTAAATATAATAATTATACCTTCCTATATATGTTACTAATCGTTCGAGCCCTAAATAAATTTCCCTATATATGCGTGTTGACGATTTGCATATAGAGGTATAGATATAGGCGCAACTGTTGGTCTGCCTGCCAGTTTCAAAATCTGTCTTGTTTACATTATGGAAGAAACGTGTGATATTAAAATGAAAATAAACGAAACACAATTAATACATACAATGAATTTGACCTATTTTATTAAAATATAAAAAAAGCTGATATTACTATTTTACCCTTTCCTTTTTTCAACGCGCTAATTGGTTTCATTATTGTAATGCGTTAATAAGCACAAATTGTATTTGCATGCATGTATCTGTTAATAAACACCAGTTGTATTTGCATGTATGTACGAGTTATTCGATTATGGCGTTTGCGCTGAGCTAAAATTAATTATTTAAAAATCTCAATTATGTAATATATTATCTAAAGAAAAATAGAATAATATTCGATAATTCAGTAAAATATGTTCAACATCTTAATTGTTTTGAAAAAAAAATATTTAAAATCTAATATTTTGAAACAATAATGACGTTTTCTAACAAGTAGTCGATCAGCGATTAGACTGTGGTGACGAAGACTTCAAGCAAAATTGTAACGAATCCAATAATATTATATTTTATGGATACAAATATATTGAAGCAAACAATATAAACATTTCCTAATGAAATTCTTAAACGTTACAAAATTATAAACTCAAATAGAAAACCAATTATTTATTTTTCATAATTATTATCATAATTTGCATTCATCATCAGATCAAATTTAGAGAAAAAAAAAATCATTGCATATGCTTGTGTATAAGTAATATATTTAAGAGGGGAAAAGTTTGAACACTATATATATATATGTGTGTGATGGAAAAGACATTGTGGTCCAAAGAAATGAAACAAATTGAATATAGTCACGCCTAAGGCACCACATGCAAACATGTTAGCTAGCTTGAGTTTCAAAATTATTTTATTTATTTGATTATTTTTTATATCTTTATATGTTTGGCCTTTTTTTTTTGTCTTTTTCTATTTTTTCTTTCTGGTGATTGAAAAATAAAATAAATTTTATGTTCAGTTATATAAAAACAATAAGAATAATAATGGGATTGATTTTTTTTTCAATTTTTTCTTTCTTTATATTTTCTAACTTTATTTTATATTATTATTGTTGTTGTTACTTTTTAAGACCATTTTTTCTTATACGTCGTATTTATTTATATTTTCTAATTTCAATTTTAAGTATTTATTCTATCATTTTTCTCTTTTCTTCGGTGTTAATTCAATTGATTTCGTTACGTTTTGGAAAGACGTTTTAACTATGACTTGACATTGTAATGTATGGTATTGTATATTTCACTAGAATTTGAAGCCAAATAACATAGAATAGTGACACACACACACATACATATATATATATATATATTCACGCATATTTGATCAGTTCGGGTTATTTGATTAGAAAAATGCTGAGTTTTTAATATTAAAAATATAATAAATTTTGGGTTTCTTTTCAAATTTTGTAATATTTGATTCGGTCCCGTTTGGTTTCGTCATATTCAATTTTCTAAAAATATTATCGTTTGGAAACAATATGGAGTTATTTGGTTCCTTGAAATGCGCAGCCCTAAAAGTAAAAAACTCGTACGAAATTGAATGACCAATCGAATAACATTATTTCTGGTTAATATTCCCAAATATATAATATACTATGGATGTTTTTTTATAGTGCGAGTGAAAAAGCCTTTTGATTCATTGGTGGGAAGCCACACACCAAAAAATGCTAATTAATAAAATAAAGAAAAGCCGATACAAATATAGAATTGGTTTTCAATTTCTAATTCAATATGTTATGTATAATTTTCAACAAAAAAAATACACGAACATTCTTTGACTCGATCATAAATTTTACAAATATTTCGAAAAAGGACTAGACGACATTTGATATCATTTTCGTATATGTAGTTTTTTTTTCCCCGAAGAATTTGTAAAATTCAATATTTTTTGGGAAATCTTTCTAAAATTCACAGATTTAATCATGAGTATCCCATAAAGTAAACACACCTTAATTGAAATTATGAAATATAAACATTGAAAAATTAAGTTAAAGAAATTAGAAATTTTAGATTGGTGATTCACGTCTAATGCCAAATACTTGGTTTAAAGTTGTTGTGTTTTTAGGCTTTTATGTCTCTCTTTTTCCACTTGTCATCATATTGTTAGCCAAATGTTGGGTATCTCTTTTTATTTTTTTTAAAGAACGTGAATTATACAATACAAAATAAATAAAGGGGAATTATTTTAATTTTTTATTTTAAATTGATGAAAATTAAGTTTATGTATCTTTATATTTAGTAGCCTATTACTTTTTAATGAGATCATGGACTATAGTATATATAAAGGAAAATTCTATTTTTTTAAATCCATTCGAAAGAATCAAAAATATTCATTGCGATATGTAAGACCATCCATACATGCGTGTTCTGCATATATAAAACAAACTATATAGTATATAAATTATAATAATAATAATAATAATCTTCTATTAATTAAATCAATTATCTGCAGTTGTACGTACTTATAATAATATGGCAAGGCATTGATAATGACATAATATTATCTTTCACGAAAGATGTTGCCTGTCCACCGAAAGTGTGCATGGGGACATCAAAAAGAGCTGACTGTTTTTGTTCCATCTTATTAAGTTATTCCCAGTGGGACTTCTCCATAATAAAAAAAAAATTAATTAATTATCAATCATTTGTACACATACACACATGCATACGTGCATGCATGCATGCATGCATGCATCCATGTAAATCTAGCATATGGTATATACCAAAACTCTCTTAATATTTTGTATAGAAATTGAATTGAATATATATTTTTTATCCAAAAAATATGTAAAGTTTTAAAATTTATAAAATTGATTTGGTGTAAAACACTTTCAATAAAAGGGTCATTAGCAAGAGAATTTTCTTTTTTCGGAATAGTAGAGTTTTCACGTGTCTATAGTAGACTTACGATGAATTCGACAAAAAAACAAGTTTTGGTGGTGTTTATGTAATGATGATTTATCATATAGGATTTAACAAAATATGTCTCAATGCGTTGTATCATTTTACCAAAATAAATTGATTTTTTAATCATAATATATAATATAAATTACATATGAACTATATTTATATGTTTTTTAGATTTATGCTCATCATCATCATTATCATCATTTGTGTAATCTTTTATAAATGAATCGTAAACCATAAACATGACTAAAAAGGTTTAATTAAGTCCTCCGTGTAGAAAAAAAGGTTCAGTGGCCTTTTCAAGAATTAGGCTTACATTGGTTACTTCTGTTCATGTTTACCGCTTCACAGTTCGATTTCTAAGATCTTCGATATAAATTTTGTCGGTCAATCATATCCGAATATACTTTAGGTTAGTCTACATGGTATCGGGGCGAATTCATTTTGATTTTATATCGTGCTTCTCGGATGCGGAATTGTTTGTGGAACGATGGAAGGTTTGTGATTAGAGAGGTGACTTCATTTGAATTATGTCGAAAACTGATGAGATATGGCTCGAATTTGTTGAAGAATATATCAATCTATTTTTTGAGGTCAGGCAAAGACTTGGAATCAAAGAGAAGGTTTGCAGGGGCATAGTCGTCATTTTGTCGGCTATTTCGTTAAGTCGTTAGACGGAGGGGCCGCAAAATGGGACACTAAGGGAGTAAGGGGTTCACGTTAAATGCTGACAATCGTGAAATGCGTTTCCAATCTCCAAGTATTCGCTCTATAAGTGAGTGTACGGGTAAGCAAAACAATTCCGCCTATAACCACCGTATACTCTAATAGGTGTCTTGTAATGCAATTACACCGCGTAAACTATACGGTTGCACCGTTATTAGTCATCTTGCTCTTGTTTGGATCCTTTGCAAGGACGAAAATTTCGTTCCCATACTCGGTGTGACCGAGTTGCCCGATTTCAGATTACTACAATTTAGAATTTCGTATGTAGATAATGGTAAATCTGGAAACTTGGCAAAAGATCCTAAACTTTGTGAAGCCATAGATGAAATCTTCAACACACGAGACCCCATTTAGCCTATAGTTTATTTGCTGTAACCATTTTCTTGACATAATATGTAATATAAGCCCTTCCATGTAAGCTACCTGAAACAGTAATCGATGAGTCCTTACACGTATAATAAGCTCAAATCCTAATAAGGTCGGTCCAGATACATGAATGAGGAGATCTACATATGGAAGTTTACCTAAGAGAAAGATCGCAACCTTCTACCTGTCCGATTCATTTTCCACGACCCCCCCCCCCTCTCTCCCTCT